GGCGAGACGTTTATGATGCAGTAGAAAGGAGCACTCGTCATTATTCTGAAAGTTGCCTGACGTTACTGAAGAAATCCATGAATGCCGATGTGGGCAGTCTTAGCTGAAAGTCTGAGTGGGTGCAGCTGGAATGCCCCATGTCTTACCGCAGTTCTGACCAGCACAGCTATAGGTCTGTTACAGTTTTAATGCGATTGTACCGAACGTCACGATTAAGTGCTCAACAGTCTTGTGCCTCACTTTGCCCCACATCCGACCTTCCTAACCGTGGCGCAGTTCCCTTCGAATTTCCATTGCAGCTTCCTTTCCATTTAATTTTTCAGGGTCGTCCCATTAGGACCTCGATTAAGCCACGACCACTTCCAAATGCTTCCTAACTCTTTGTTTACTCGACCCTCTGTAGCTTGATATCCTGATAGAGTTCTAGAATAAATTGGAAAATTTGATTCCATCATGTGTATCTGTTCCTGTTCCCACTTGGAGCATAGGGCATCCGTGAAACAATTTCATTTCAGCTTCTTAATGTTAGACAGTCGGTAGGACTCCTTGGACGGGGATCAGCCTGTCGCAAGACCGCTACCTTACACAGGACAGCACAAGCACAGAATAAACGTAGACAAACTTCCATGCCTTGAGTGGGATTCGAACCCGCGATACCACTGTTCGAGCGGGCGAAGACATTTCATGCCTTCGACCGCGCGGCCACTGTGATCGGCTGATTCCATCATGCTCTGTTGGAAAAGCAACGACGGGTCATCCTTGTCTGTGTGTGTTCTGCGGAAGAACACGCGGCGTAGAACAGAAGAATGAAGTATCCGACGCGGTTCGAAGTCCTGGAGGCAAAAGAGTAGAACCGAATGTAAACAAACGTTGTCTTTAGACTCTACCCCATCGAGACGCAGTATAGTTTCTTGGGGTGGGGTGAGACTGAGTCCACATCGGCCACTGTTTGGCCTGTTGTAGCAGCCCCGGATGATAGATGATGTGTGTGGAGCAGTTGGTCGAATGAAAATTGGCTGGGGAAACCGAAATACTCGGAGGAAACCTGCCCCAGTGCCACTTTGTCCACCACAAATCCCACTAGGGATCGAACCCGTGCTGCCGCTGTGGGAAGCCGGCGACCAACCGCCTGAGCTCTGGCACGGTCTTGGAGGCATAAAGGGGACATGGAAATAAATCTCCACACATTCTTAACCTCAACAGTAGTTGGAGCAGTGGTCAGTTTTGTGCTTCGGCCACTTTGTTTCTGGACAGAGGCCTCGGTATCCTTGGTTAGGAGGCTGGGTTGGAGAAGAGTAACCTTACTGTTGCCTAAAATAATCCAATCTCTGTCTCGGTACGCGTGAATTAAAGTTAATTAGCATGTCATATGTCAGCATGTGCTAATAAACTGATCCTACAAATGAAGTCTTTGTTCCGTGGCACCACAGAACATGCGTCACACCATACCTGGCCACCAAAGTGTGATGGACCAGTGGACAATTTGATTATCTCATGTTTAATCATTCGTTAACTGCAGAAATACTTTTCTGCGCGTTACCATAGCCACCTTACCGTATGCTGTATCATGTTATCTGTCGTTATGTATACTTCATCTCAGATTTAGTAATTATGAGGAGGAACGGAATATAGCAGTAAAGTACTGCCGAAGGTATAATTCAGTCGGTATTACAATGTCACATGCACAGCGTATGCTCACCTCTAAACAGCATCACTGCTTAATACGTGTTCTGCACAGTTTGTAATCATATACTAGTGTCGGTTAAACCGTGTTCGAAGGGGGATACCTAGGCCCATATAGACCTACACGGAATTCATGGTTCGGCATTCGCTTAGAAACTACAGTAAACAAGAAACGAATAGTAAACTTCTCGGTAACGTAAATATTTGCATTACAAAAACTCATATGCTTTTACAATCCTGGCCGAGGCTGTCTCGTACCGTATGTATATCAGAGCCATTACCGGCTGCTGGAATAACCAACTCCATGGAGCTGAGTCCTTGAGAAGCCGCCAGTCGCTCAGCTACTCAATTTTCCAATATTTTATGGAACCTGAATGTTCATTACCTTGCTCACAGAACGCCTCCACTGGTACATGACCTGAGACAGATGAATCCAGTCCATGCCAACCCATCCTGTTTCTCTAACACCCATCCTAACATTACGTCTGGATCTGCTTAGAGGCCTCCTTTCTTGTGGTTTCCACACCAAAATCCTACATGAAGTTCCTCTAATTATATTTGGCGAAGAGCGTGACTCCTCGTACTTGCTGGAATGTCGCCTTAAAATGGGCCACTTTAATTCGATTCTCGCCCTGAGGACTGCTACATTTCAATTAAGCATTTAGTTCGGCCCTACCGAGATTATATGAACAAAATTTAAGCCCAGTAGGCCTAGATCATCAGCTTTGATAAGTGCCTTCGCAATAATTGCGCCCCGAATGAGTGGTGTTCTATGAGACTGCAGTTTCCAGCTTCGTAATTTAGGCTACATGAACCGTCGCAACAGTTCAGTATGAAGCCAAGAAATGCCACCTGTTCCTCTCCTGTGAGTTCCTGTGTTGTGTTGCAGCATGCTGATAGTGATGGTGCTATCGCCCCCAGCTTCACACCAACCATATCATATTGATTTACAGCTCCTATTTTCTCCACCTCCGCCCTCCTTATTCCAGATTCCTAACCCGCCGGTTCCACCCCAACAGCAGGGGTAGGACCTGGTGACGTCACTTCATCCCCTGCAAGCGGGTCGATTCTTGGTGGTGGTTGCTCCATTGATTGGATTCTATTAGAGGACATATAGAAGTCGTGTCGGGTCAAGGTTACCGTGGGGTAGATTCCTCATTCTCTTCATCTGATGACCCACATCCGCAAGCAATCGAAAGCATGTTTTATTAGCAGATGCATGGTGCAGTAACTTTATTTCAAACTCACTTTCAGCAGTATCTCCATATGCATAAACTCGTAGTGGTTTAGACGGCTTGAGTTAAGTTATCGGGATTTCAGAAAATATGAGTAATGTTCTTTTTTTAAAGACTAAGCATGGAATAAAAATATTGTGTTTCTGGACATTATCTATCGTCGTTACAAACTGTAGTTTGCAGTCACCTGTTAACGCTGTTCGTGGATTTTTATACCCCGAAGATGGAGGCCATACGTTCCTCCGAAACGTCGATTTACACAGTATCTGCACGGCGCCACATCCCAGAAGACGGCATTCTTCGATCAGTATGTTGATCATGAGAATTTGTAGTTAGCCGACTTGAAGCATATTTTATATAAAGTACATATCACAGGATGCCTTCTGGATGTCATATTTTAATTAACCTCTCAATACCAACATGAGTATCATAGACCTAAAGATAAGTTTTTGGAAATGCAGCTTCAGAACTCCACATCCGCATGTCTTGTTCCAATTGTCACAGCTTCGCATACTCAGAACCAGTTTCGCTTCACAAAGAGCAATGCAAATTTTTGAATTCGGCGATTGTGGTTTTATAAAATTTACAAACTTCGCAGCCACGTCTTACTGAGCCAATACAGTCTTCACGGCAAGAGCTTGATGGTGAACGATACAGTGTCTACTGCCACCAGCCATGCGCCACCTGTGCAGATATCAAAATATTGTTTTCAACTAAAGCCTGAAGTTGAGATGAAAATTAACTTCTGTTGTCGTATGAGTAGACAGACGTTTGCACGTAAGGTTGATTGCAAAACAGAAAGACCGGAGACATCAGTGGATTCATTTAGTTTGCATAGCAAAACCCTGACTGATTCTTATCCGTTTAATGAATTTAATTAGTATTGCAGTCCGTTATGGTCTAGTGGTCAGAGTTCCTGGTTACAGATCCAGAGGTCCCGGGTTCGATTCCCGGGGCTACCAGATTTTCTGAGAAGTAGTGAGTCTGGAACGGGGTCCACTCAGCCTCGTGAGGACAAATGAGGAGCTATTTCAAGGAAATAACGGCTCCGGTCTAGTAAACCGAGATTAACGGCCGTGGGGATCCGTTGCGCTGACTGCGCGACACCCTCTATCCGCTAAAGTTGTCACTGACTTCGCCGACAAGCGGCGGTCGCTCGGTCGGTATAGTTCACTTACGGACTACAGGCCACGGATTTTTTTTTATTGCAGTCCGTTTCGAAACTGTAGAATCTGGAAGTGAAATATTCTTGATAACCTTCTAGTGTTTATTATCACCAAGTTTGTGAGAAACTGTGCCCCCTGAGATTCTCGACATTTGTAGCATAAGATAAGTAAGATAGGCATGATCTGCACTGTAAAGCCTCTACTGACAGAGAGGGCGTGTGTGTAGTGCAAAAGGAAGCATTATCAGTAACATTCTGTATGTGCGAAGTGTTCACTTGACGAAATGCCAAACCCACCTTCTCATCAGAGAGGATGTTACATAAGGATTATTACCGTAAGAGTTCAGTTAAAAAAAAAGTCTCTACTCGTGGATATCAAGGGGCTTGACGCCAAGATGAACTGATTGGCGTAAACCGTCAGCCGTAAAGTAATTTTGACGTTGACTTTGACGAGTTCAGAGAGAGTTGTAAGGGAGTCTGTGAAGATGAGTCTTAGTCGATGCAGTCGAGAGCCATTGGGAAACGAAGTGAACGCGGAAGCTGAAGAATCTCTGCTGTTAGAAGCCATTATCAGGAGACGACTAGTGGAGACTGTAACAGACTGAGAACACTGGAGTGTGTACAACAGTGATTTACTAAATTGTGGGAATTATCAGTGGTGCTATAATTAAGTGTTGTCGCTAGTCGTGTCAATAAATCCAATCTCCAATCCACATACAATCGTGACAGTAATCTCTGATGGAGCCCTTGAGACTACTTCGTGGAACCCAAAGATTCCGTGGAACATAGTGGCTTAGAGCGGTGTATGTTCAGATCACTACCTGCTTCTGCTATTAGTAGTATTTGTGATAACCGAAGTAAGACGCTGGAATGTGTTACGGACCCGAAAATGACGTGCGTTTTTTGTGTGTTTATAGGCAGGAGCTTCCGGTTCCTATGTTCAGCCGCAATGACTTCTCCATCTGGTCTGTTTTGAAGAACTGTATTGGGAAGGAGCTGAGCAAGATCACAATGCCGGTGATCTTCAATGAGCCTCTGAGTTTTCTCCAGCGGATGGTGGAGTATATGGAATATGCTCACTTGCTGAGACGCGCAGCGGAGGAAACAGACCCAATTTGCAGGCTACAGGTATGTGCAGTGTTTCCCACTAAATACATAAAAATGATTGGAAATTACCGTTTCTAGAATGTTACTTCGTTTCATAGATAGTTACCAATGATTGAAGGAACCTGGTGCTTCTAGCTTCAGGGTAGAAAAATGATACTCTTCTACCTGCAGCAGGTCACAGCAGCTGGGTGAACAGTCTCACATCCCAGAAGTAAGCTTCGTGTTCGCTGTCATGAGAACCTCAGTGCCACATAAAAACACTCATTACATCGCCATAGAGTTTCAGTATGTCGAAAATGAGAAGCGCGCGCAGACGCAGATGGTCTCTCCGCGCTCATCTCACGCGACACTACTCTCTCCTCGAGTCCGCTTCCTTCTCAGAGCTGAAAGGTTCCAGCCTTCCTTGGCGGCAGCAGCTCAAGATCTTTTCTTTAAGACCGCCTGACTGCCTTTCGACTTTCTGTCAGTGAGTGCCTCTCCGCTGGTGTGCTGCCATCACTGGGGATGTTCAGCACTTCGGTGGCTTCACGGCGCTGCTGGTCCCTGCGCTTCCATTGCTGCTAACCGCGTCTCTTTTACTCTTGATGGGTGGCTCCCATATAGCGTCGTATCGCCTCTGCGTCGCGTCATGTCACCTGCAGCTCGCTACTGAACTCGTCGCAAAGATCGTGAGCCTGTTCTCTAACCAATGCCGTGACGTCTTTCAATCGTCAATTTAGCGTGTCATTTTCTTTACGAATTCACTTTGGCCAGCCTTTATATCACATTTCGTTGTTTGGCACATATTAGTTCCTTTGGCAGGTCGCCAGTTGATCATGGCCTGTTTATGTCCCCTTGAATTCTTTCTTGGCCGCCAGTCATATCCCTTTCTAGTTAAATAAGTGCTACACCATCGCTTGTAATGCTGGATCCATCTTCGAGCCGACTTCTGGCTCCAGTTCCAACGTTTATCGTTATTTGGGACAGTTATTGGCCACTTTCTTCCGTCTTGCACGGAACTAACTTACGATTCACTGCACCCAATATCCCGCGTGTCCTTCGACGCACGTCCGCATTAGCCCTGCGCTCACAAATAAGACTGAACTCAGATGCGTCTCCTCTGTACCTGCACGAACGGTTGCAGTCATTCTAGAGGTCTGTCTTCAGTTCCCCGTCGTCTTTTGTCGTGAGCGTGAGCTTGGCAGTTCTTGAAGGGTCTAGAAACCGCCAGTGTGAGCAGTTCCGCCGTGTTAAAGAGACTCACGTAATGACCCCGCCCCACTAACAGCTCACACGACAATAATTTTAGAATGAATTATTTCATAGTGTAAACTAATATTTATAATTATTTATATTACAGTATTAATAGTAGTAATGATAATAATGACCCAGCAGCACCTTAAGAGTTTTAGGATTGAAATCGTACACATACTTTCAAGCGTAAACACACAAGAGAAGAATGCCGTCATCTGCGATGTGGCGCCATGTAGATCTGTGAACTGACGTTTTTGAGGAACGTATCGCCTCCATCTTCAGGGTAGAAAATTCCTCGAATGGGGAAGGAACATGAACACAAATTTTTATCTCATGGTACATTTGTATGTTGTGCTCAAAAACCGGTAAAGGGATATTTTGAACATAATAAAATTGTAATTTTGTGTTAATTTATATCAGCAACCACTTGTATTATCAAAATTAAATGTTTGGTCACGGGAAGGGAACAAGAAACTCTACCCTTAAAGGGCTAGGCAAATCATTATATACTCTACTGAGCCACCTCCAGTGCAGTTCTTGGTCATGCACGGTGTTTAGAGGGATATTGTGTTGTTGCACGTGAGTCATTTGTTCTCCCAAATGCAAATTAGAATTGTTAGTCGCTTGCGCTGTCTCTCACAGTGTCCAGCTCTGCCTTTTGTTCATCTCCTCATTGAACACGTGAGTCTTCTCATACCACAGCAGCTCATTTAATGCCTAATGCACTGGAATGTTCATATTCCTCAAAAAAATTTTGTTGGTAATCCTACATTTTTCTTTTTCAGTATGTGGCTGCATTTGCTGTCAGTGCTTTGTCATCTAATTGGGAGCGACTGGGTAAACCATTCAACCCACTTTTAGGAGAGACATATGAGTTAGAGAGAGATGGGTACAGGTATGTTGTAGCATACTGTGGCTTGAAATTTTAGAAACTGAGTTAATAAAGTTAAATGCAGAAGCGGTGGTGTAGGAAATCATCATCGCTACTACCGCCATCACTATGTAATAGCATCAGTAGTAGTAGTAGTAGTGATGTGGCAGAACCATTGGCAGCAATGATAGTGGTTGTGTTAAATTCACGTATTATTATTATTTTTTTATTGCTGGTTGGGTGGGACTAAGTCCCTTGTACTGCGGCCACTTCTGGCCTATTGTACCAGCCCCAGATGATAGGTAAGGGTGATTGTGGAGCAATTGGTGGAATGAAGATTGGCAGGGGAAACCGAAGTACTTAGAGAAAACCTGCCCCAGCACCACTTTGTCCACCACAAATCCCATTTGACCAGACCTGGGATCGGTGGGAAGCCAGCGACTAACCGCTTGAGCTGTGGCGCGGCCATTAAATAGTAGTAACTTCAGCAACAATGTGAGCAGTAGGATTAAGGGTATTGATGACACTGTTAATAATTTAAATAATGAAGTTTTAAATATGTTATGTATTTTGAAAGCTGCTCCACACAGTTCACATTAATATTGATGCAGACATGTTGATATGGTAAAATTAATGTGTTTAGGAACAGTTCTTGATGCACTTGCTTTTGTTCACTACTTTTTCACCATACACTGCTGCACTGTCCTGGCTTTCATTTGAGATCAGGTGGTGGTCTTCATAATGACCCTTCAATGCCCCAACAATATCTTTATTGTCACTCCAGCTGGAAGACTGTGTAAGATGTTGGAAGATTATTCCCCCATAATTTCAAATAGATGTGTAGCCATCCCACAGGATCAAACTGACAGTGTAACTACTGGCCAAGATGTGGATCCGTCAAACTGCAGTGGCTTTACTACGATACTGCTGGTCCCTGCAATCCCACCACCTTCAGTTCTCAGTTGGGCTTCTACTGCTGCCCATTGTGTCTTGAACTCTTGGCCGTTGGTTTCCAGGCCATGTTGAGTTTGTTCAGGTCACTTCTTTGTTGAGGCATGTTGGTTCCAAATAGACCAATAATCCCTGAGATTTTGCTTGTTCTCCTGGGATGTGAAACAGTGTAATATCATAGGTTATTATTAACATTTTGGAAGCTGACTGCTCCAATCTTTACTTCTTCCTTTGAGATTAGCTAGCAGATTCCTCTGAAATGTTAACCACATATGAGACTACATCATGTCATATCCCAGAAGACCACAACCTAAATTTTCGCTGCTGTGAAAACACTAAATATCATATAATGTGTAGAATATGTTCGTCTTTCCAAGTAAGGTACCATGTTTCACATTCATTCAGAATAAGTGTTAAAAAGGAATTATTTTATGTATCTTGATCTTTGGTGTTATAGAAAGCAACCAGAGCGCTAACAGGTTTCAACTAGAGTAATAACAAGTGTAAAAGTGGTCCCTGTGCTTACCTAGTTAAGCACTATGCCATGAAAGCGTATGGAGGAGTGGATGTATAGTTCCACTTTTTCTTGACCTTGGCACTAGCTAGAGGTGCGTGGTCAGCTTCACGCCCTGGAATAACAGGCATATTCGTAATTTATTCTTCACTTATTTTCACTTACTGTTGTTGCTCCAAAGTTCCTAAGTTCTGAGCTAATTGCACATAATTTATTTTGTGTACTGTAAGTAAATGATGGCATATTATGGGTTCTGGTTTTGTTACAGCACATGTATTTAATTTTATGTACATTTACTTCTGGGGTTTACAAGAATTTTATTAGTAGATACAAAATTATTAAGTGTCACATGCCATTCATATAGTATTATTTCATAATATAAAAGGGTATTTAATATTTGCAGGGTTGTGTGTGAACAAGTTAGTCATCACCCACCAATTTCAGCATTCCATGCAGACTGCAAAGACTTTATATTTCATGGTTCAATTCACCCTAAGCTTAAATTCTGGGGAAAGAGTGTAGAGATTCAACCCAAAGGACAAGTGACTGTTGAACTTCCAAGGTAAGACTTGCTGTAGAGTATAATATCATTAATAAGAATAATATTGTAGAGAGAGATCTGGCTGCAAGCAGTTGAAAATTAGGTTATATTTCAGTATTATCAGGGACTCCTCCCCACCCTTATATTTTTACAGTTGCTGTTGTTGTCTAGTGCCAACTTTAGCAGATAGAGGGTGTCACGTGGTCAGCACAGTGAATCCCCACAGTCGTTAATTTCAGTTTTCTAGATTGGAGCCGCTATTTCCTTGAAATAGCTCCTCAGTTATCCTCATGAGGCTGAGTGGACCCTGTTCCAGACCCACTACATCTCAGAAAATCTGGTATAGCCGGGAATCGAACCCGGACCTCTGGATCTGTAGCCAGGAACTCTGACCACTAGCACTAACTTCACCGACAAGCGGCAGTAGCTCAGTCAGTATAGTTCGCTTGTGGACTGAAGCCACAGAGTTTGTTTTTTTGTTTTTGTTGTTGTTTATGCTTTAATTCTAAGCATAGTATGTTATAAAAATCCCTTTTGCCCACTTTCCTGATTTTGAAATGCAAGATAGCATCCTCATAACTGTCTCTCAGTGTGCACTTCCCAGTTCCAAATAACTTTTCAACGATGTGACAGATTTTCAAGAAATCTGGTATGAATAGAATTCAGTTTTAATTTATGATCATCAGTAATACCAATATGGTTACAGTAAGGACTCTTTCCATAGGTCTTACAGTTTCCAAGATAATTAAATAACAAGAAGTTCTTGGAAGAACTAGTCACCTACTTTTATTTCACTGCAAATTGAGCTTTTCATACAACAAGAGGGGCATAAGTAAGTCAGTACAACAGTAGCATAAATTAAACTGCCAGAATACAATAATGATAGCTTAATTTATGACAATATATATAAAAGAGGTCCATTGAGGGACTTATATTCATTTCATGATTGTTTATGTGAGATCAAACTTATGGTATCACATCAAGAATGTGAGCAGCTGCTGTCTTGGCATTACTAAGGGGAGGTATTTGTGACATACACTGTTGAGAATGCTTCATATGACATGGTTTTCTTGCCAAGCTTCATGACATAGATGTAAGCACTTAAGTAATATTAAGGGTCTTACCTCAAAAATTTTAGAGGCTTCAGTGTTGGTATTAGTGAAGGGAGGGATTTATGGAGTATACCGTTGAGATGACATTAGAAGGTGTTATGCATGTGCCAAATTTCATGACAGTTGGTTCAGCCATTGAACTAATGTTAAGGTTATGTCTCAACAGTTTGAGAGGTTGTGGTGCTGGTATTGCTGAAGGGAGGGAGTTAATGAAGTAGACTGTTGAGATTGTCTCATATGGCAAGATATATATATATATATACCCAAGATTGTTGACAGTCAGTTGAGGCATTCAAGTAATACTAAGATTATTTACCTCTACAATCTGAGGGGCTGCAGTGTTGTTGTGGATGGCCAGAGCGTTTCTAGGCAACAACTTGTAAACAACCTTCAGATGAGTACATTGCAACAATAAGACAAAGTTTATAGCTCACTGCTAGGTGACATGGAGAGCCAAAGGAATGGACCCAAGAGATTTGTGGATCCCGGAGGAAGTTTGCTGCCATCCGCAGGAAGGTGTCCCACAATGCATGAATGGCATGGTGCAAGGGAAACATCTTCAGGGAAATTGTGGACCATGGAAGGAATTGGCCGCTGGCTGAAAGATGACCCACCATGCAGGAGTGGCACATTCCAAGGGAAACTTCATCAGGAAATATTTGACTAAGGACAATGTTGAGCAAGAACCCCAGAAAGGACGAACAGAGGAGAATAGATGCTGGGAATGCCCGGAATGCAAAACGGAAATGAAGGACCAAACCACAAATGGCACCAGAGGGTGGAACTTAGGACAGAAATTGCACCTGGAAAGTGGAGGAACGCGCAAGAAGACCCTATATGAGATTTTCAGAGGGAAGATCGCAAAAGAAGTAGTCAGAAGTTCCAGCGGGTTATGAAGATGGATGGCCTGGATATCATGGAGAGGTCATCCCCCTCTGAAAGGAAAAGGAGATTGTGCATGGACAAGGAGCTGGAAATGTGGTAGTAGCAGCCACTTGGGATAATTTTGCCCACCGTCTGAAAAAAAAAAAAAAATTGGATGATGTTGAGAACCTGAACTGACTGGACCCATATAAGTTAACCACTCGGGACAAGCTGTCAGGCTGTCAGCTGTTCAGGCATTCACATTTTTTGAGGGGGGCACACACAGAGTATGGTGATCTAATAAGCCTACTTATTTTTTTTTTTTCAAAATAAGTTAAGTAGGCTAAAAAGGAGTGAATATGACAGAATTGTTATGCTACATAACATTTCTTTATGTTTTAACTGGACGTACCCCATCTTTCTGTTCATTTCTGTGATTAAGTGAAAAGAATTTTCTGTTCATTATCATCAAGAAACAAGTTCCTAGAACTTACTAATTATATTCATATTTGCATCATGCTTGCAGATGGGGTGAAGCGTACACTTGGACTTACATAAACTGCTGTGTACATAATATAATTGTGGGAAAATTGTGGATGGAACAGTATGGAACCATGGAAGTAACAAACCATGCCACAGGTTAGTGTTGTTACATGACAATGAAAGTTAAATTATCATTTATTATTTTTTTTTATTGCTAGTGGGATGGGACTAAGTCCCTTGTACTGCGGCCACTTCTGGCCTATTGTACCAGCCCCAGATGATAGGTGAGGGTGATTGTGGAGCAATTGGTGGGATGAAGATTGGCAGGGGAAACCGAAGTACTCGGAGAAAACCTGCCCCAGCACCACTTTGTCCACCACAAATCCCACTTGACCAGAACCAGGATCGAACCCGGGCCGCCGCAGTAGGAAGCCAGCGACTAACCGCTTGAGCTATGGTGCGGCCCTCCTCAGGAACATTGTGGCATGTGTATGTAGACTGAATTTCTGACTTTTGATTTGTGCTATATACTGTGCAGAAGGACACTCCTACTTTAAGTTAGAACATTATGTTGGATGTTGCTTAAGAAGATCCCATTTAAAATGATTTCCCACCTAAAAAGCTAAAATTATTGGGTCCAAAAAGTAATAACTTAAGAATAATGTATTTATAGATTGTGTAAAACATTTTGCACATAAAAAGATGTCCCACCTAAGAAGAACAATTTTAAAGGCCAATATCGAACTTCAGTATAGAATATATATATATATGTATGTATAGAATTTATGTTTTGTAATACGCATCACTGGTTTCGGTAACAAATGATATTTCAACAGGTCATCGGGCAGTCCTTACCTTCAAGCCAGCAGGCTGGTTCTCAAAAGACCTCCACCGAGTGGAAGGATTCATCACAGACAAACAGTAAGGTGTTACAGTTTTCAGCTCAGTAATTGTCAGACTTTTTATATATTGTGCTGCTTGGAGTGTTTGGCTGTGCTGTGGACTGAACAGTTCTGTTTCATGGTCATCCATTTTGGGTTATCAGAACTTTAATGACAGTAAGATCTAAAAGTTTGTGACATTGGTATATTACTACAGTTATTGTGTTTTGGGGCTTTAATCCATTGTCCTGTTTTTTATTTAACAGAAAGTTTTGGAGACTGGATTCTGTCTGTCTTCAGGTTAAGACCTACTCATTTGGCCCCAGTCAGTAGAGCTAGTCCCTAGCCCCTAGTCTGAAGCTAGGGACGAGCTGTATTAATTGGGCCCAGCTGAGTAGGGTTTAACCTGAAGACAGACAGAATCCAGTCTCCAAAACTTTCTTTTAAATAAAGAACAGACAGTGGATTAAAGCCCCAAAACACAATAACTGTACTTTAATGTCACTTGGCTGAATTGGTTTGAGAGGCAACGGTTAAAAGTCTCAGACAAAGATCTCATGGTAATGTGGGGTTTGTCTTGGGCTCCTTTAAACCCTCCAGTGAGTGTCAAGATAGTGGTGAAGTAGCCTTCATGAAAATTAACATTTTGAAATAATACAAGATATTAATCTGTTTTTGCAAACTGAATCACACCACACATAATACGTAGCTGATTCCAAAAGTAAGGTCTCCAAAGCGCTGGGTAATTTTTCGTGCTGCTGTTGGCAACCCTGTTGCATTCGTTGCTTCCCCCACTCCCCCCAGTACCACCAAGCATGCGCGCACGTAGCTAGGACGCTCAGTCTTGGCACGGTTGCCGTTAGAAATGGCGCTCCCGATTACTAAAACTGCGAAGTGTGAGATTCGCGCAGTTATTCGGTTTTTGAACGCAAAAGGGACTAAACCAATTGAAATTCATCGTCAATTGGTGGAAGTGGATGGCGAGTCATGCATGGACATAAAGAACGTCCGCAAGTGGTGTAGGGAGTTTGAATCTGGTTGTACTGCAATACACGACGAAAAAAGAACTGGGAGACCGTCAATTTCTGACGAGACAGTCACGAAGATTGAGCGAGTCATGCGTCAGGATAGGCGCATCACACTCGATGATCTCTGCATTTCGGTTCCCGAGGTTTCCCGAACCACCATTTATCGGGTTTTGACAGAGAAGTTGAATTATCGGAAGGTGTGCGCAAGATGGGTCCCGCGAATGCTCACGGAAGACCACAAACGGCAGAGAGTTGACTCTTCCCGTGAATTTCTTCGCCGCTATGCTGACGAAAAGGACAACTTCTTGAATTCAATTGTCACAGGCGACGAAACCTGGGCGTACCACTTCACACCTGAGACAAAACAACAATCACGTCAGTGGCGGCATTCCTCTTCGCCTAAGCCTCGAAAATTCAAGCAAACACAGTCTGCCGGTAAAGTCATGGCAACTGTGTTTTGGGATCGAAACGGGGTATTGTTGGTTGACTTTATGGAAACTGGGACCACAATAAACGCTGAGAGATATTGTGAGACACTGAGAAAACTCAGGCGGGCGATTCAGAACCGGAGAAGAGGGATGTTGAGCAAGGGCGTAAGCATTCTCCACGATAACGCTCGCCCCCATGCTGCCCGACAAACCGTCGCTCAACTGCAACAGTTTGGATGGAACATCATCACCCATCCACCCTATAGTCCGGACTTGGCGCCCAGTGACTACCATCTCTTTCCAAAGTTGAAAAAACATTTGTCTGGAAAGCGCTTCAACAACGACGATGAGGTGAAAGCTGAGGTTCGAAGTTTCCTGAACAGCATGGAGGTGAACTGGTATGACATGGGCATACAAAAACTGCCACTGCGCCTACAAAAATGCATCGACCGAAATGGCGATTATGTAGAGAAATGAGTACATGTTCAAGATTCAACTGATGTATCCAAAATTGAAAATAAATGTTTATTTTATATTTTCAAACATAGGAGACCTTACTTTTGGAATTACCCTCGTATCACAGTGCATACCTGGATGTATTGTTTTCTTCTATTTTGTTAAGTATCATGTTAAGTAACTTCTCCAATATAAGTTCTAGACCTTAATGAGATATATATTTTTATGTTTGTGATTAGCAGCTGTTGATAGAGTCAGCGAAGTTTTCATTGAACTCTGTGTAATGCAGGGATTTAGACCTATAATATAAAAAATTAATGTTCACAGACAACTTTAGATTGTACCCAAATGTAACCGAAATCTGCCACGTGGATACATGTGATGTCAGAATTATACTTTCATTTTATGCATTTTGAGCAAAGATTGCATAAAAAACTAGGCAGAGGAAGTTTTAATAAATGAAATTTGTAAATATATTGATGTTCTTTATACAAATACAAGGTATTAATTTTGCTCTCTGTCCACAGTAAGAAGAAACTGCATTTCCTTTATGGCAAGTGGACGGAGTTCATTCGATGCACAGACATCGCTTCATATGATGAGTATGTGCGAGAGAATGCTCACAAATTCAGGTGCAGGTCAAACTTTGTTCCACGGTTGCACAACAGAGTTGCTATTTGCTTTTTGTGTTTTGTCAATGTAACAGAACAGAGGTAGTGATAGTAGCCAGCATACAAGAGTAGTGAAAGTGGTTCTCAAATGATATTCACTCTTGCCCATGGGCACAGTGTTGGCTCTACTATTTTCCACCACTTTTTTGTAGAGACAGAAATGCCTGTTTGGAAAAAATGGCTTGGGTTGGGGAGTCAGTGCCTTTGCTTTCCTGCACAGCATATTCTTAAGATAATACAAATAGGCTTTGTTGAATTTCAAATGTGAAAGCCACAAGCACAGTTGCATTCTGAATGCCAGTTCCTTTATGTGAAACCATTTCAGCATGTTCTTCTGAAAAGAAAATTAACGAAGTTGGGTCCTCCTTAGCCTTCTCCCATAGCTCATGACACACGTTTACACCCTGCTGCTTTTGAACATTTGTTAAGATTTGGGGAACAAACTTCATGGCAATGCTTCACATGTTCAAACTTTCTGTTCTCCTAGCAAACACCATAACTGATCCCAGTGGTGTCTGTGAGCTTATGGATTGTTTGGTGACATTCTTCATGGATGAGTTCTCGAATTTTTCAACATTTTCTGTCGTTTTTCTGGTGCTTGGTCACCCTGAACTCTCGCAATCTTCAGGTGACACTTGACCAATCTTGAAACATGAATGCCATTCAAAAACTGATGTCCAGCTTAAAGAATGTTCTCCAAAAGCCTCATGAAGCATTTCAAGGGTTTTAGTAGCGGATTTACTGAGCTTCGTGCAAAACTTGATGCAGACATGTTGTTCGATTTTGCCATCCATTGCTAACCAAATGAAATACAAAGTCGAAATAGCACTCATTGAAAAACAGTGCATATTCACAGCACAGTGTCACATGGCAGACTGATGCAATAGGCTTGTGGAAGTGTGACCTTGGCCTCCCCTCTCATCTTCTTTCGAGGCAGTTACAACAATAACAGTCCGGGAACTTTCTTATACACCTCATATTTCAGGTGTGGTAATGTACAACATAGTTTTTCATGCACTACACATGAACCAGTATACACTAACTCATCATCTTACAGATGCCCAGATAACAATTATTGTTTTAAAACATTTAAAAAATTAATACATTTTCTCAATATGCAGGAGTATATCAAGTAGTGTGTGGGTTTCCAGCTCTGCCACTCTTTGTATATCCAATCAGGTATTTTTATTGTGTTGTGTGTTGGATACTGTACTCAGGTCATCAGCCATTTTTGTCTTGTCTCAAAGTATCTTGGCCTCTATAATGACTTCCCAGCACTCATTAATTATAACAAATAAATGAATGCATATATGTGTATTATTATCATGTGTCTGCATGACTATGGACGTGGTTTGGATTGGTAATTGGATATATTGAACACTTACAGATTGTAAAGTGGAACCTGGTGACTACATTTGAGAACCTCTGCAGTTAATGTGTTACTAGTAAATGAATTCATTGAGCAACCAACTGTTTGAGCATGTACCTCACATTTTCTCTCACATGTGTTCTGTGTTTTGAATTGAAGTTTTAGTTCATTTTATTCCATTAGTGTTTCCCTCCCTCCCATAATGAAAGTTTCAAGAATTCTTAGATATGCTCTTTCTTGCCAGTTCTTTTGCCATTGTTCTCAGTGATAACCTCAAATGAAATAAATTTTGTATTTATTCTGCACATGTTTGAATGTCGCATATTTGCACCAAAGTAACCTGTTACACTGACCAGCCACTTTGCATTAGTTTTCACTGCAATGCTTGTCCTGAGTACCTTACAGCTTTTGTTAAGATTCTTTTTTGTGTTTGCATGCATCTGTGTCCATGTTCTGCTCTACATTTAAACCAGTTTTCATGAAACTTAGTGTTGGCTACCCCCTTCTCTACATTTTGCTACCGGTGGTAATAACAGCATGGCAGTCAATCACAGGAAGTTCCAAGAAGAATGTATTATGCATACTTTACTTCAAATGATTGTATCTCTGTAGACAGGCCAGAATCAATATGAATTAATAACTGTACAACTTGGTGATTTTTATGGTGCTTTGTTAGTAATGGCATAATTTCCACATTTGTAGTTCATTAGTTATCACTTTTAGCTAGAAAAGATAGATTTAATAGTTACTTTGTTGGGACGATTGAGGCTAGCTCTTTCTAAGGCACCCAACAGAATAGGTGTTTTCCCTCACCTGAGGACGGAAACAGATCCAGTTGCTGAAATGTCATGTTTTTCTTATCTTAAAAACCAGGACGATGGATAAAGTCTGAAAACCCAATATCTCTGTGAGTATTAGGACACTATATTTAATTAACTGTTATTGTTCACACCTCAATTTTGATGTGTATTTCAAGAAATTACCACAAGTTCTGGGAAGAACTGGTCGCTTACTTTCCTTTGATATGACATGGACCACGTAGAAAATGACATGTCCATCTGTTGGAAATGGAGTTATCTCTATGGTCTGCCCCAGAGTTATAGAAACAGAAGTGAATACAAACACACAGACAGCAAGATGATGTCATAAGCCTCCTTTTATTCTTTTTTTAAGTGACATATGTAGGCTAAAAGTGAGATAAAGTGGGATGACTTCCGTTGACATTATAGTTCTGCCATATTTCATGAAAATTAGTTAGTGGGTCTGTAATTTATTTTAAGGATGGGTGGGCGCACAACTATATGTCCTCATGCATGTGATAGTCTGGCAGTGGTTTAGCGCATGTCATAGAGGGGACAATGCAGAGGGTTTCTGTGCTTGCAGTGCTGACTTCATCTACTTAATCATAACTTTGTTACTACTCACTGTGAGGAGGCAACACAGGTTTTCCACATATTGTAAGTACTGCCAGAATTAATCCCCTTCTGTCTTTAATCATACCTCACAGCATGCACATAAGTTTTATGACATAGCCTAAGGTTCTGAAGCAGTTATCCATGGACTTACAGCTCATTACACCGTGAATTTTATTGCATGTGATGACACTTGCTGAATTATGTTTCCACACACCATACATGTCGCATTGACATGCTTCCTTGGCATGTGAACAGGAGCTGTGGATCCATGATTCTGTCATGCATATTTTGCAGCAGTCAGTTGCAAGAAGCAGTTGCTACATAAACTGATTGTTAGTGCTGATGCACGAGTTATTTGATATGGATGAAGTTTAATTAAGCCTTGTGGCTGTGAACAGAAATCCAGTTTCTTGTGCTAAGTGTCTCAATAACTTACAAGGGTTGATCTCTGTCTGTGTCTGAAGGGCTTAAGCTTTTTCTTCAGTCAGCATATGTCTCTTGCATTGTTTCTGTTTGTCACAAATTGAACTTGTGCTTCACAACTTTTTTGCAAGCTTTGCTACACTTGTCTTTATGGGACTTGTGCCTGTGTGTATTTACAAAGGAACTTCTAAATGCACTTCCTCATAGATAAAACTCACTGCTTGCTCTGTCCAGGGTGCTCATACATTTCATTATTGGTCAGTATGCAGAATTTACTTGCAGTTTATGAACTGAAGCCATTCAATAAGTGTCATGAAATTTTTTTACATCCTTCAAGGCGTGCTTGAAGCTAGATGGAAGTGAGTTCTGGCAGTTCTTGTGCAATATGATGCATATGTGTTTCCTTTTTATGGTAATCAGGGATGAAGCTCTGTTTAAGTAGATAGAGTCAATGCTGAAGGCACCCCCTGTACTTTTCCTTCTGTGGCCATGCAGTAAACCACTGCCACACTGTGCAAGTTCTGTTTTCTGAGATATAATGCCATGTAGCTCATTGAAAATCAAGTGGTTGGCTTTCAATGAGTCACACAGTTTTATGTCCCAGAATATAGAGGCGTTCATATCAACACACTTTTGCAAGGAGCACCTTAAAATACCAGTTGAATGTACTATATAACAGTATTGATTTTCGTGTTTAAAAAGAAAATTACATAGGTCGGATAAAAAGTAGTGGCAACACCTCTATAGTTTTGAAATGAATTACCTGAGGTAAACACACTTACATTCCTTCAATATAACTGCCCCCCATGTGTACCACCTTCTGCCAAATTTGTGGAAGGCGTCGTACACAGTCAGCGCTTCCACTTCTGTTGATGTCCAGCAGTGGCTGCCCTACAGCACGAATAATCTCTCTTGTGTTGTAACGTGTCCCTCACAGTGGTTCTTTCATTTTGGTAAAGAGATCATAATCTCACGGACTCATATCGGATGAGTATGGCGGATGTTGCAGTATCTCCCATCACCAGCGGTGATGACGTTGCCAGTGTTGTACCCTGGACATTGTATGGAGTACCCAACGCACTACAGTTTTGCGGTATCCAAGAATATCGTGCAGAATGTGGAACACGGTTTTGTGACATATGCCTACCTCAGCAGTTAACTCCTGCGCACCCCATTGACTGTCAACATCCAGCAAAGAAGCAAAAAGCTGAACTGTGTGGTTGTCAACATGGGGTCGTCCTGTATGACAGCTGTCCTGAATGGCATCCCTCCATTCACGGAACAATTTCACCCATCGTGCCACTGTGCGATATGGCAAAGCAACATCACTACATGCTTCTGTTAGTCCCTGATAACAGTTTTGTGCACTACGGCCTTGTGCAACTTCAATTTTTATCTAGGAGCGTTGTTCTTGTTTTGTAAACATGTTGTTATGGTGCCTGAACTGGGCTCCTTCACTTGAAGATGATGTACAATGCAACTCAATGAAACACAACCAGAGCCACTCACTGCACTACTTCAACTGAACTTCTGCTATCAGCTACAGACAGTGCTAGTGCCACGTGATGCACGTCTTTCATGTTACAGCAGTGTTGCCACTACTTTTTATCCAACCCTTGTATTTGTAATGTACACTGAAACTGCAGTGGCTCTAGACAGCTTTTCCAAAAATTAAAGTTCTGACTTCCGTACCTGTAACTGTCATGAGTTGATCTGTTGTTGACATGCTACTGCCACTCTCCACATGAACATGGTGTGAATGTTTCACGAGTGAATTTGTATGTGCTCTCAGTTGGTGTTTACTTTCTCCTTTTGGTGCAAGTGTTGGTGGCGATCATCATGTTGTGCGACCACTGGAACTCATTAAACAGAGACCTGCACAGATGTGTGTTATATTATTATTTAAGTCTGTAAACATATATATTGACTATTGTATTGTTATTAGTAAAGTCTGTTGCATATCTGCTAGTCATGCAGATAATTTAATGCTGCCTATTTGTCAAAATTTTAAGATAATGTATTTTTGGTCTGTTGTCGAGCAAGAACTGATGTGCAAACTCATGCGATATGCAGTGTTCATGGACTAATTGAGGATAACCTTTCCTTGATAAGTTTTATTTTTCAAAAATACTTTTTTTATTATCTATGGTAAGACATGACTTACATCAATAAAATATAGCAGATAATGTTAACAGAAAAGCAGTAGAAGATGCATTTTTCTTCACTGACTGAGAGATGTTTGGAACTGAAGGGGCCATTAAATAGATAAGATGAAAATGGTTATGTTGTGTGGGCTGAACCTCACTTAAAACTGAATTTGCATTTGTATTTGTTTATTTTCTTGGGATTTCCTTTATCTCTTGCCTTTCTTTCATTCTCAGTTGCTCTTCATCATGAAGGAAGGCTAATAGAATTGTTCATTTAAGTAGAACGAATAGAGTTTGAAACATTGAAGTTAATATAATATTCGTTATCAAACTATATATTGAGAACACCAGGATCACACCTAAAATTAATCCATACTAGTTTATGCATGACTTCCTGATTTCCAAGACATGATTTTTCAATCAGTATCAAGTATCATCTTGCTTTAGTTGGCATAGCTGCATAACAAGTCATGAGAGTCAGTTGTTTTACTAAAAGCAGTGTTTCCTTGAGCCATCATGTCTTTATTCAGTCTTCCAGTATACACTTATTTTGACTTACCCAGCAGGATATGACAGTGTGTGGAAGAGCACATACTTTTGCATCATATTGTGCCCTACAATATGTTCAGTAGGGCTATACATGCTCTGCATGTGTCTGAATGACAGTGACAAATAGCAGCTCACCCATTGGAATTTTCTGTTCACAAGGATTACAGATAACATGCTTTCTGGACAAAGATCATCACAGGAAGTTATTTCACCTTGTCTGTCAGAAATGTATAAATCTTGAAGCCATTATTGTGCAGTGCTTTCCTTCTCAGGTGCTATGGATTGAACTATCTAGTCTAATCTGGCTCAGAATTTACTTGTGAAATAATAAGTAATTTTAGATATTTTATTATAATCCATGTGAAGCCAGGGTAGCACTGTCAGTATAGTGATTGGCTATGGGCTGGATGACGGGTTAAAGTCGAAGGCCTGGTAGGGTCAAGAATTTTCTCTGCCCCTTGTCATCCAGACCAGCTCTGGGGCCCACCCAGCCTCCTGTCTAATGGGTACCAGGGACTCTTTCCCCAGGGGTAGAGAGGTCGGATCGTGACGCTGACCAATCATCTCCAGCTAGTGTTGAGGCCAAGAATACATGGAACTACATATCCACTCCCTCATACATCTTCATGACATAGTGCTTAATTAGTTAAGCACAGAGACAATTTTACTTTATTTATTATAATCTTGTCTGAGTGATGGGCCCATTGCATTGCATTGCATTGCTTGTTTTCATTCTTTATCCAGCTGGAATAGGAGCTGATGTTTTCTTCAATGGTAACTAGAAATGAGTCCAGGTAGACTGAGGCAAAGGCACTGCTTTGATATAACGAGCTATTTGTCTTGATGTATGTTGAGATGCTGTTGTCATGTAATTAGTTTGTCTTATTTTGTTTCTTTGTGTCATGTCAGCACAGCTGAGTTACTAGTATCTGCTTAACATTTGTAACTGTAAGCACTGTGATAAGTTACAGAAACAGTATTCAGTGTCTCTCATCTTTTATTCCTCTGTATTATGTTAGGAGTGAAAATGAGTGTATTAAGAGTTTGTTCTTTACTTCATGTTTCAGTTTGAGATTCCACATATTTATTAGTCATATTAAATGTGGCTTTTATAAAACTGAATTTCATGATTTATTGTACTTATTTTTTAAAACTGAAGATTTCTTGTTCTAAATTGACATATCACCATTTCATTATGTTTATACCACTGCATGATTTTTAAGCCATAATCTGTGCAGAAAAATATATGTTAGTAATAATGTTGATTGTCATAAAGCACATTAAACTTATTTGATTACATTATTAGGTACTTGGTCTTCGTTAATTTATTGGAGAACTGTGTTATTACTAAATTACATAAACTGAATATTTACTGAATAGTTACTATGAATGCTAACACCCCTTGACTTTATTACTATGTAAAACAGCTACAGAATCTCACATAATGCAGTATTTAGTTCATTGTTTAATTTCTGTTTGAAATTAGGCATGAAGGTGATAAGGGAAAGGGGCATACCCCCAATGACAGTCCTTCTCACACACCGAAGAAAGTGCTAGCAAAACTGAACAGCCTGAAGGTTGGACCCTTCAAATCAAATTCTCAGTGTGAGGTATGTGTACCATTTATAAGTATTATTTAACCCAGGATTTCTCAAACTTTGTGATAATGTGACCCGCAGAAATAATACATAAATTTATGTGACACCCTGTCTTTGCCAGTTGGCTATCAGGCCTTGTAGTTACAGCAGGAACCCCAAAATCTTTGAAACCTCTCTAAGCTTACAGTTATCTATGTAATATTCATCCATTCATGAAAAGTACAGATCTGCAGGTCCCTATCACACTGTACAGAAACTGCAGGGAACCCCCCAGAGAGTTGCGACCCTCAGTTTGAGGAGCCATGTCGTCATCTATTCATAATATGGCTGATACTACAGGTATAAGATACAGGCAAGACATTCATTTAACCTTCAAAGGATTGGGCTTGTTTGTTTTCTTACAATTTAAAAAAATGGGTCTTCATATTTGTATTGCTACAGTTGTTGTGTGAGGTAAAAACTCAGTAGTTCTGTGTAAGCAAAAACCAGTTTACTTGTATTGTGTGTGTTTGGTATGAGATTTGAGGTTTCCATAGCGATGAAAATGTATGAGTGGTCTTCTGAGTTATGGCACCATATAGTGTTGTAGATGGACACTTACCATACTAAATGGTGTCATAACCCAGAATGCCACGATCTGCTCATACACATGAAAAGTACAATCTTTGGGGTTGTAACACCTCGTACTTTTGAGAGAGCCTAACACTTCAGAGGAGCATTGTGCTTACATCTTCAGAGCTGAAGAATAAGCCAAGCTTCTGCTAGTTTCTTGCTTGACTTTCTCATCAACCCTAAGGGGTTGGAGGAGGTGATGTGTTCCTACTAAATGTTTATCTCTGTTCAAACCATGTAGCATTAGGACAATAGATAGAACTAGTTCAGTTTGGACCCAACTGAGTAGGTTTTACCTGAGGACGGGGACAGACTCCAGTCTCCAAAATGTTGTGTTTTGAAAAATACACAGGACGGTTTTTTAGAAAATAGACAGGACAGTGGATAATGTCCAAAAACATAATACTTGTCTTATCTCTTATTTACGATATTATATTATAACCAAGTGGCAATTTTGTTATCATTATTATGCATATCCAGATTGTCTAAGGGCATAGGTTACAAGTGGTCTGTGTTTATTATTGAGAGACCTAAACATCTGCCTACAAGCTACTAATAATCTTGAGCTGGTATGTCAGCCAGAGCAGACCCACTAGGTGAAGAACAACACAGCTGACAAAAGTGTAGATCTGTGTGACCATGGGATCTAAATCACAGTTTTGAGTGTTACCCATCCACATTCTGTTAAGAAGATCATAAATAGAGAATTTACTCTTTGTGGATACTTTGTTGTTTGACAGGGCAGTAACAGTGCAGATGAGGGTTGTCCCATACCAGATGTGGCAGAGGGAGAACTGCCGAAGTGTGACTCCACCTACTCCATAGACATTCCTAACTCAGTCACCTTGTGGGAAGCCGATCCAAGACCAGAACGGAGTGCAGAGGTTAGGTTTATCATGGTCTGACTATTGTCTGTCATTCCCGGAGCTAAGATTTTGATATATTCACATCAGTTGTATGACATTGTTAAATATGCCCCAACATAATCAAAATACACTCTGGAATTGAAGAAAAAATTTATATTCAAAATTACATAAATGGTTATGGCATAGATAATATTATCGCAGAAATAAAGGGAATTGTGCAGCAAAAAATGCATGATACTTTTAACTTTTCAAACCGAGGCACTGGTTTTATCTCTGGAATTTAAAATGTAATTTCCCCATAATAACTGGTATAATAGTACAAGGCAGTGTCATTTGAGTGAATTTCTTAAGACCCACAAATGAATCTGAAGTCCTGTAGAAATGAGAGTTTTGTATTTTGCCTTTATTTCCATGAATTTTACGGTTCATTTTATTGTGTTTCCTGACCAGCTTCAAATGCATTTGAACCAATCCAGCAGAGATGAGGCTTAACACTGTGATTTCCTCATATATTTTTATATATTCTGTTGCTCATATTAGGTTGATGTTTTATTGCAGTATTACCAATTCACACTGTTTGCCATGTCCCTTAATGAAATGGAGCAGGGGATGAAAAGCAGGCTATGTCCCACAGACTGCAGGTAGGAAAACTGCTTTTGAGTGCACACTGAAATTTTCTTTGTCAATGAGGCAGACCTGCTAGTTGTATTCTGACATTGATGCTGCAGGCTTCGTCCAGATATTCGAAAGCTGGAGGAAGGTGACATAGATGGTGCTGCTGCAGAGAAAACTCGTCTTGAAGAAAAGCAAAGAGATGCACGAAAAGCGCGCAAGGGAAAGAAAGGCCTTGACTGGGCACCAAGGTACATTTCTATATCCATGTTTTGTGTTCATTGCTTAAGATACATGAAGAGAAGACGTGCAGGAGGTTTTGACCATCCATCTGTCCACATGTTTGTTCCTGAACCTATGCTCTTAGACCCCTTAAGATGGAGACAGCATGTTGCTTTGAGATGTTTGTATCCATCAACAAGACTATGGTTTTGCACTTCAAATCCTGCAGTTGTAACAGTCACTGCCATGAAAGTCTTGGAACTTATAAAAAGTATATGTTCATGTCTCAAAATCATGAAGTCAAGATAGTTAATAAATCTTTAAAAAAAATGGGGCAAGGTTCACATACCATATTTACAAGCAACAAATCAGTACTTGGGGAGCGCTTACCGTCTTTCACAATCTTTTGTCTTTATGTCTGCAACCTAAAAGCATAAAGATAAAATGTATAGAACTGTAATTTTGCCTGTTATTTTATATGTATATGAAACATGGTCTCACATTGAGGGAAGCGCATATGTTGAGGGTATTTGAGAACAAGATGCTGAGGTGATTAGCATGTAGTGCACATGGGAGGGATGAGAGTTGTAAAAGGTACAGCTGTTCCTGTAACAGGCCATGAAAGCCCATAGGGATGTGAGACATCGAGTCCATCACATTTTCTCTAGACAGTAGGATCACAGATGGCAGTGAGGTTGTCAACCTTAATGTGCTAGCCACCTTTTACCTCTCAGAAAGATTCCTGATACTCATTCCTGTTAGAGGCTGAGTCGACCCCAGGGCCATAGTGTGGCTGGAAGTAGTAGGTCAATTGAAAAAATCCACCTCATTTGGACTCCAACCCATGACCTGGCTTGTAGCATAGTGCCTCAACCAAATACACTACCATGTGACCCTGGGATGAGAGATGCATTTACAATTTTTGTCAGGTACCTGAATGCAGGAAAACACTTGGAGAGCATAGACATAGACTGAAGGTAATACTAAAATGAATCATAATGATTCTAGTTTTGTGAGGTGTGGACTGATGTCAGGTGGCTCAGGATAGAGAGCAATATTGAACTCCCGTGAACACGATGATGAACCTTTCAGTTCAAAAAAGGCAGAAGATTTCGCAACTAGCTTAGTGGCTGTTAGCTGCACTTCAGCCTTGAATCCAGAGGCAACAAGTTCCTCCGAAACATTAGTGCCTACCAATCAGACTATACGGTGTTATGTCGTAGATGACCACAGTCTTCATTAATTCAAGTTTTGGTGTTTGTGTATGTTTTCAGGTGGTTCACACTGGGCACAAATCCATATACAAAGCAAGAGGACTGGTTGTATAGTGGCGGGTATTGGGACCGAAATTTTTCAGGGATTCTTGATATCTTCTGAGTATTTCTTCTGCACTCATAACGTCTGGAATTGCCATTGTACACGGAGCATGGAACTGTGTTATAGATCTACCATATTGGAAAATGTTTATCAGTAATAACTAGGCAACTTTTAGAGCTGTTAAACTGTTGTTGCTCATGCGTTTCTCTGTTGTATGTAGAAGAGAAGCAGACTTATATAGCCGAAATCACTACAGAAGTTTCCGAAAAGAACTTTAATTGGGTCCTGGAAAATCATGTTTGTTGATATGTGGGTTGGATATTATTAATACTGTCAAAATTCAGTTATGTTTAAAGTATGAATTGTATCCGTATTTTATTGAAGTCATTTAGACCAATGAGTAAGAAATGGTGTGCAGATATAATGAGCCGGATACTTCTCTGTTGCTATTGTAGTATTTGTGTAAAAAGAATCTGCCTGTTTGATCGGTAGGGTAATTCTCATTGATGTCTGATAATCTTTCTGGCTTTATGGTAATCCATAGATTATTTACACCGATGAGCCTTATGTCACAATAGTAGGAAGCAGAGAATTAGAATTAAGATTAATTGATAATTGCTTATTCTTAAGAAAAACTAAAATATAAGCTGCCGCTGTGTATTTTCTTTAAGTCATATAACGAAGATTATTGTAAATAATTACATGGATATTATTTTATTTATTTATTTATTGAACTGTGTATGCAAATTATAGTTTCAAGCATTTTAATTATAATTTTTTGATAGAAATTTAAAACATGTTTATGTTACAACAATTCTAACATCTTCCTCCACCTGCCAAGAATGGTTTACAGAGCCTTTTTGCTGTTCCTACACAGCTGGCATAGTGAAAATTAAAATAATTAAAAAATATTCCTGGTGTTTTAGTGTGTCTACTGATTTCAGTTTGAAAAGATGTCTGCATAATCAGTTGCTGCCTATATGTCAGTTTTACTGTTACATTGAAACCATGAGGTGTGCACTAAGCTGTGAAGCTGAAAAAACCTCTTATATGGCTTTGCTTAGGAAGGAAGAGTGGGAATTTTTAATTTTGCATTAAACCTGCATATCGTTCACAGTCATAGTTTCATGACTGAATACATGGCAGTTTAAACTGGTGCAATACTGACTTCAAAATTTTAACATTTCCTTATTATGCAGGATATGCCTTAACTTTTCTGGATTAATTTTGTGTTTGAAATAAGAAACATTTACTCCTTTTTTATAATAGTTGAAGCTGTCTGACTGTGACCTTTAAACAACAGGAATACATTAAAGAATACTATTTTCTGGGATGTGACACTGTATAGTCCAGTAAGTTCTACTGGACTATATGAAGTCACATCCAAGGTGATAGTTACCACTGTGAAATCCCCTGTCAATTCTCATTCCACCTACTGCTCCACATTCAGTAATCATCCTATCATCCAGCATTATATAGTCTTAATGCTGACAGTGTTGTCAAATAATTGGCTTATAACTGCACCACAAATTCTGTATCATGTGTTAGTCATAACTGTCTGAAAGTTGTCTGTGATTAACAGTATTAATGAATACATTTACTGTACACAACTGAAAACGTTTCAGATTATGGGTGATTCTGCATCATGTATGTTACTGAAGAAGTATAAAATAGATTTTCAAATTTAATTACCTAATTTCAGGAAGCAGTTTTTACAAAAGTGCATGAATTTTATTCACTGTTACATTCAGATTAGACACTTGCCTGGAAGCAGTGTGAATGCTTACTTAATGTTCCCATCAGAGTTGTTGGTTGTCTGTGAAATTTGCTTATATGCTTAAATTATATTATGAGGGTATTTCAGTAATATAAAAGAAGAATTTACGAAGATTGTGTTACTTTATCCTTTGACCAGTTAATGTCTGTGATAACCATTATTCCTTATTTTTATCACATCACTGTATATTCATTATTTTCATGACTTGGTATCGGTAATATTGCAGTAACACAGCTATTTCATATGAATAAAGATGCATGTCTTTAAGCAGTAGTGCGTAATAACAAGGAAAACACAGTGAGCTGAAAGTCTCCAAATATTTCTGAAGTAAGATAAACTCAGTGGCAGGCTGTACCATTTAACTGCCCACATAGCTTCACTCAGCAGTACATGATGCAAAATGTTATAATCCTTTGATTTTACTTACATTTAGAAATATAATGCATTAAACCAAAAATTGACCCCCTACCATTCAAACTTATGCCATAAAAGTTAATCTTTGAACCAGTTCCATCCAAGTATCTAATTCAGAAGTCTGGATGAAGTCACCTTTCAAATTGGGCAGCTTATTTTATTCAAGTACATTTAGGATACGTCAGAGGGTATCTGTCTCCAATGCCCAGTGTTATGCATTGTTTCGAGAACAGCTGACTGCCACACTGGTACCCGTAGTGATACACAACAGGATACAAACAATAAAGAACAGGAACATTATTTGAATTGTAAGTGCTTTGCATGTAGAAATATAAATGTGACAACTGATATATATTAACAACAAGATTTTCAGGATCACTTGAGGTCAATTAAGTTTTTACTGAATTGGCATTTCTGTTAGTAAAGAGTAACTGCTATTTATTGTAACCCACGTATGATTATTTTCAGCTGAGACTGTGATTGAGTGCTTGTTGGTGTGTGATGTTATTGTTCAGCATTCCTGAGAGTTGACATTTCATAGGGGCTTTGTATCTGAAGCACAGGGTTTTAATAGGGTCAGGGGAAGGTAGTTCATGTGACTTGACATCGATTATGATGATTGTAGAGTATTAGTTGAAAACTTACAGTCATACATTCTGGCTTCACCATGAAATAAAGAAATATTTTCTCTCATAAAACGCAGCAGTAGAATAGTATTGTAATTATAAGGGATTGCCAGAAGTGTAGACAGCTTGTAGTCATTTTATAAATTGCTGGTGTCATCTGCAGCATGAGTAACACTACAACATGATATTATGTGCATTAGAATTTTTGTTGTTGTGATAACGAAAGAGAAGTTGTGTAACAGAAAAAATTAAGATTACTTTAAATGTATCTAAGTTTGCTATGCTTTGTTTGATAATTGCAAGAGAGAGATCGATGACTTTTCCCAGCCATTGTAAAATTATTCACTGTATAGTGATACTTGAAAATGGTGAATGTCATATAGTGGTTCAAAAGGTATGATCTTCTGGATTATGATGCGCTATTATAGTTCATAAAGAGCCAAGACTTTGGAGGAACATATTGCTTCCATCTTCAGGGGTAGAGAAAACATCAATCAAGAAACCAGCAGAGACAGACTCAGCTTGCCACCTGTTTGTGCTGGTCTCTTGCTTGGATTACTTTTCAATTCTGAAGACAGAGGTGATATGTTCTTCTGAAATGTGAGGCTCCTTCCAGAGTACATGGTATTACAGTACAGAAGACCACGCTCCTCGCTATTATCACCTTGAGAACCTCAACTTAGAAAGAAGTCAGCTGTTATCTTTAAGAGTGCTATGTGATATGATATGAAACCCAGCCAAGAGAAATAATTGGTTGAGAATGTGGGAGTAAAATGGGATAGGTACAAATAAAATAAAGTTTTGTGTATTACTGGCATCTGCCTTTATATATTGTACCTTTCATATATTTAAATAGCTAAGGCATCCCATTCTTCACCCAATATTACTTAAAATCCACTATAGAAATAATGTTATTGTTTACTTATTTACTTATTATGCTAACAGAAACACCAATTTCTTGAAAATATGCTACTTGAAAATTCTTATGTATTATGACAGACTTATGAATGAGTCCCACTGACAGATTTTCTAATATTTTCCAGTACTCTTGTGTCACCACATAGCAGTTGCTTTAATAATAGTGATATGGTGACAGAGCAATGTGATAGTGATGATTACATTACTTTTGCATTATAGAAATTTGTCATGCTAACCTATTAAGGACACAGAGGCAGGGAGGAACAGAACATGCTCTATGAAGGATTTTGTCTATGAAGATGACAATAAGTAAAGTTTGCTGCAGTAATTTATCATTCCAGTTTGTAGTTTTCTCTGCTGAAGGTGATTTTCAAGCTAAGTGTTCTTTGATATAAGCTTTGACATGCTTAATTCAGTGGACAGTAAATTTGTTATGTTTGTGTGATTATTTAACATGAAGTGGGAAGATATGGTGACACTGCCATGTATTGCTTGAAATTGTATTGAGTAATTGAAAGGATGGCTCAAGAATAATTTACTTCTGATCACAAACTACCTCAGTATTTTCACATTTTTTAATTTCCATAGCCTTGAACTCGTCTTACAAAGAAAGGCATAAACTTTTAATGACAGTCTTACAGTGTACATAATTTTCATGAAACATAAAGCAGTTTGGCTGTGACTATGTAAGAAACCTAGGCAAACACCACATGTAATATATGTAACATGTGCAACATGTGGCATACCAGTCCATTACATACTCCAGTGCACTTCAAAATAGATTCCTTAATATTCAGGCTTTACACTATCCTGAAATCCCATAATATGTGACAAGTTAGAATCACTTCATTCTTAGATTGTTTATAGTGATGGAAATCATCGTCAGCAGATCAAGTGTGTGACACAGCTCACATTCATTAGAAGGATCCATATGCTAACTAAACTGATACTTACCCTTCCCGTGCTGGCATACACTACCTTGTAATCCTGTGCACAGTTCATACATTTCATTTCCTCCCCTAATTTCATAGTGAACTCATCACTTTAGTTTCTGCAAGTTTGCTTGGTTGAACTAATACCTAAACTTCAAAATACATGAAAAAGTTGCCCTAAAATCAGTCTTGGCTTGGTCAGACTACAAAACAAGCAAACCACACAACAAAGAAATTATAAGCTCCTTTTCCATACCTCAAAGTAATGTAATAAGTAATTGGCAATTGGCAGTTGAACGTTTGAACCAGGAGTTTTATGGAGCACATGCTTGCATCGTCCTGTATAAAACAAAGCATTGTCATACCTATTATGATCATTGCTGCTACTACTGCTGGTTATAGTATGATTCATTGGCTATTTAATAGACTGTACCAACTGAAGAAGTTAACCTAGAGATGGGTATGGATGTTGAATTAATAGAGATATGGTAAGTAGTAGTTATGGCCTATTTCAAGATAGTGTACTAGGATTTGCCCACAGAGACAGCAGAATGAGAATATTTCATTATTGTTAGCAATCTGACTAGGAGGCAAACTGAATACATTATGAACATGTATCAGCAGTATTACTACTTGTTTAGCCACTAATGTCAAGATACGTTTGATTTTTTTAGTCCTTACAGGCCTCATTGACAACATACAGATTTAAGTTTCATGAATCAAGTCTTGAAAATTTTGACTGTGAATGACATGATGCATTGTTTTTGCTTCCCCCTTTCCCCATTCTGACATGTTAGTAAATCATTCAGATTATGTTGTATGTCCATAAGATGAAAGCGTTATTTCAATCTCAGTAATGCTGACTGCTATAATTAGGTGAAAATGTGCTACAGATAATAGTATATATAAATATGTATATCTTTACTTATAATTTGTTCTGTGCCAAAGAAGAAATGTTAGTTGTATTTATTATAATGACACTGATGCTACCCCAGACTTAGTTCTGAGTCCTGCATATACTCCCTGTTGCCGATATTTATACATCAGAATAATATGAACACATTTTATAGTTATTGCAGCTTTAGATGCTAGTTATGCAAGTCAGTTTTTGCTACACAGATACCAATTATCACTGCTGAACTGTTGTGACCAAGATTTGATGATAAGCATGAGATTTATAAAATTCCCTCAATCTCATTCACACCTTATCATTAGATCATTATCGTAGCGACAGTCTTGCACAAAACAATCACAGAACCATGTATGTTATACAAAAGATTAGAGTCTTTTGTAATAAATTTTGTTAAAATGTAATAAATAGTATTCAGTTTACTGTCTTTTGCTGTCATAAGGCACTTAAAAAGTAAAATTGCAAGTAGGAGAGAAATTGAAAAAAAGTGGAATATTTACGTTGAAAACTTTGACAGATGTACCCCACTTTACACAGCTTTGTAGATTTCTGTCTTCCAGGATATAATGCCATGTATCCTGGTGAAAGTGAACCGGTGTTTTGGAGGACTTACACTGAACTACATAGTGTTATATCCCAGAAGAATAACTTTTCATAATTACTACGGTTAGAACCTCAAAGCCTACAAATCTTTGGATTTGCATGCTTACATACATAATAAATGTGTTCCTTTTTGGAAGCAGACCCTGCTTACAGAATCTGCTTATACAAGTTGCTTGTGTGTTCACTGAAAAGTGTCCTTTAAAGAAAGACAAAGCTTCTGAATTTCAAGAAGGAAAAGTTCTGTGCAGTCATAAATTACAGTTGTAAGAGGAAGTGTCTACTAATGAATTTTCTCTCCCATTTCATCCCATAAAACAGGAAGTCTCTAACCACTTTAATTTAGGCCTCATGCATGGTCTTAAGAAATATTTCTGCTGAGTTTCAGTATTATAATAAATAAATATTTGCTAATATAAAATTTTTAATGCCATGTGTATGTGTTTAATGTCTTATACATTATTGCAGTGTTATTGTATTTTTAAATAACCAAAGGAATGTAACTCACATTTTTGACTCTTGAGTGAATGGAAAGACATCTGCAGTCTAAATATTACACACAATTTTTCATTAACAGAACAGCCATGTAAATTATGTATACCTGTGTTGCCATTAGTTTGATTGAAATTATGAAATTTATCATTCCATCAGTGACACGTCTTCTAGTCAAATTATGAATATATGCACCATAGATGTGATTGTTGTTTAAATGCAATATGCATTTAAAGACAGTCTAAATGGTTAAAAATTGTTGTCACTGTTATCATTGTCAATATTGATCCTGTCTTGAATGGGCTGTACTGTTGATTTTTGAGGTACTTCCTGATTCTGTCTTCAGTGTCGAAGTGAGAGTTCATGTATTGTAGGCTTTCAGTCCAACAAACTCACTGGAAGGGGGTGGGGGTTGTGCCTGGTCTGAGCCAGCAGATGCAATGGATAGGGAATTGTGACCAAAAATGACCCTTATAAGGACCACAAGGTACACTAAAATATGTCAATATGTGACATTCCCAAACCATCTGCCACACACAGTGTTGTGTAACTTTCTCTACTGTGGGTTAAGTTGCATTGTGATCCTCTCTGCTTAAGGATAGATTGCAGTGGAAATTGGAAGCAGCGAATGTGAGAAATTGTGCATCATAGGTGAGTGATGGCCCCAAAATTGTGGGGGAGATTCCTGTCTCTCATTGTGAGTATTTTGGTCTACCAACCTCCGAAATGTCAATGCAGCCCACTTCAAAATGGTTCAAATACCAGACAGTATGATCAGCATCAACCGTGAATCATCATGAAAGCCTGTTATCAGTGAAATTGTAATCATACTTCATTATTAACTGTGAATGTATGGCATTAAGTTATAATAATTATTGTATGTCAGGTTTTCAGTGACCTTCAATTACTGTGAGTTTTCCATGTTAATAATATATATTTGAGTGGATAACAAATTGTTAGTTTGGCAGTAAGTTCGCAGTGTGCACTGAAGGTTATATCATGGCAAGAAGTCCTCATTGCACTATATACCTATGGGATTTGAGGTTCTCATAGTGCTGACTCCGAAGAGTCTATCTTCTGGGATATAACACTTTGTCGTCCAGCATAAGTCAGCTGATGTTTTGGAATAACATGTCAATCTGTCTCATGTTCCCATCTCTGAAAGTGATAGAAGTGGCTCTTTTTAGGTCCTTCTATTGGTTCACTTGGTTTTTCAGGGAGAGCCAGTAGGAGCAAGTTTTCAAGTTCCTCCTAGCCTCAATAGATTCTGTGCTTTTTTGAACCCAGTTTGCCCTTTGTCTGCCTGATGCTCTTTATTTCTTTCTTTGCTTACTGTACGGCTCTGAAGCTGGACTCTTATATACTTGTGGTTTGTCTATAAAATAGCACTCAATACAGTAGTATGGTATTTTGTTCATACTTGAAGGTGTTTATGCAAGTCTTACATAAATACAATCCAATATTATGATTTATATATCAGTTCATATTAGTAAAACTATAGATATGTCATTAAATTAATAAATTTACTCCATTGTGATATTATCACTAAGTTTAGTCTTTTTACAGATAACATCATGAGTAATTAAATTCTAATTTTTAATCAGTGTATTTTATATAAACTCTGGTGCTGATGTTAAAGAGTAATTATAATTTTAAAGATTATGTTATGTGTAACATCCCAGTTGCATAGTCTGATTCACTGTAATGTAAATAATAATGTAATGATAATAATATAATTAATAATAATATGTACTTTTGCTTTCATTGAAAGTATAGCACTACTTTTTAATATCATCAGTGGATATGTATTGATGAGTGAGCTTATGTTCACCAAAGCATTGTTTTCTGTTTCAGTGCATGTTTTGTCATTGCGCACCAGTGTTAATGTCAAAATATAATCTTGTAATTCCAGCGTTATGTGTTGAATACACGTGGTAGCATAGTTGGTTGGGGCACTACGCTACA